GCCCTTTTCTTTGCACATTCTATCTCAGCCCTAAGGATTATAGTGGACTCTTGTTATTTTCCAGCTTTTTCAAGGTATAATTGACAAACAAAATTGTAAGATATTTGAAGTAATAATAAAACAATATTATGATATATATATATATATATTTACTCTATATTTGATTCTGATATCTGCTATTCATATATTCTGTAGAGAGCTCTTCATTTCTTACTAGCCAATCCCTTATTAAACCAATCCCGTTATAGTTTATAACTACATTTTTGTTCAAATTACTTAGTTTCTGTATCACAGTTGAACCCTAACTGATAAAGCAGGTAAAACTAGCAAAACAACAGCACAAAATAGATGGGCTCTGGCATTTCTAGAAATAACCCAACCTAAAAGATGGTTAATAAAAGTGTAGTTAAGAGGGTTCACTCAAAGTAATTGGATGGTATTTTCAGGAACTGGTAAGTGCTATTTTTAAAAAAAGAAAGAAATTATCTAACCAACTATAAATAATTAACAGTAATATGTCTTTCCCAAGGATAAAATAGAACAACCTGACATACATACCCGGTATATCCTTCAAGTAAATTACCAAATTTGCCTTTATCAATTGGCCTCTCATAAACCTGAATGGAGTCAGCTTCCCCAAACCCATCTGATGGATAAAATAGTTTCTGTACTTGTAGTAACAAATTATTGCACTATATGAGGACCTTTCACACAACCAATAAGCAACCTCCTTCTTTAACATTTTTTAATCTCACAAACTCCACAACCAAAGTTTACAGGCAAAGAGAGTTTATGCAGATTTATTTTAAAATTCTATTTTCTTCTTCCCCCCTTCTCCCACCAAAACTGGTCTTATTTACAAATACAATGAATCAAACTTTCTAAGCCATGTAATTGAGAAAAATGTAAAAGATTTGGATTCAAGTAAAACCCCTAAAGAATCTACTCCTCATTACCCTTCAGATAGAATTTGACAGCACAAAGACAAAAATGGATTCAAGTATTAAATCATGTTTTCCCACTTGCGTATGTGAGAACAGACAAGTCTTCCTAAGATCAGCAAAATTTCCTTCTATCACTTTCTTAAAGGGCCACACTGTTGTCTTATTAGAGAAAAAACAAGGTAACGAAAAGGCTTCACCAAGTCCTGTGTTTAATGACAAATATGCAATATTCAATACCTTAAGGTGTATGTAAATTAGCAGGATACAGGACCCTTTACCCAGCTTCAGGTACCTTTCTTATCCTCCAAAAACATTTCCAAGATGGGATGTAAGCATCCTGCAGCCTGTACCTAAGCTTCCTGCTGTTCCTGCAGGCTTGAGCCCCAGAACTTGGGGCCCAACTGCTGCCTTATTAACTCTAACCAACTTTTCAGAAGTACCATCACTACTATGGCTTGCTTTGCCTCCCTCCATACCTTTATGTTCCCATTTGCTTTTCCGGTCCTCTGTGGGTTTCTTTTTTTCCAGTGAAGACTGAGGTTAAAAATTTGTTATCTATTTCCCCTTTCATCTAATAATAGTTGGGACTTTCTTTTTATGTCTCCTTTCAATTCAAAAAGTACTGAGCTGCATCTTACTATGCTGATGGACAGTGACTGGAATAGGGTATGTGGTGGGGACTTGATAATAGGGGGAATGTAGTAACCACAATATTGCTCATGTGAAACCTGAGCATAAGATTGTATATCAATGATACCTTAATAAAAAATAAAAAAGTACTGAGCTGTATTTCCCTACTGCCAATTATGGGGAGGGGGGTGGGGTGGTAGCTATATTTCCTTTATTGCTTTGGCTTTTTCTCTCTTTGGCTCTTGAGAATCTATTATTTTTATAATAGTCTTGGTAGAGTGGATAACTTTTATTTGTGGATTCCCCTTTAGAATTTTCCACTTAAGAATAATTTGAAGATGTAACAGGTGGAGAAGGTTAAATTTTAAAGCATCATCCTACCTGATAAAGGCCAGAAATGGGAGAGGAGGTATTTACCATCAACAGGTCAAACATAATCTGAGAATTCTCTTACAGGGAGAACAGTTTTTTCTTACTTAATTATGTGAGTAAAACATTTTGAAGCACTTCTAATTTAGGAGAAGGCTTAAAATGATGAAGAAATAGAAAGCTAGACAGTTCTAAATGGATAATCACATATTCTCCATTCAACACATAAATATATATTGATCTGTGCAAATTAGACAATTCTTTCTTTTTCTTTATGGAATCCAAGAGGCCACCCCACCAACAGAACATTAGAAAGGTCAATAACTGCAGGGCAAAAAAGAATTTTATAGTATTTATGACCACAAGGTAGTATTTCATGTCTTAGAAATAATGAATTGTTATTCATTCATTGTTGGACCACCTACACTTAGCTAAGCACTGGGAATATGTAATAAAAACATACATGTGTCCTGCCCTCAAAAAGCCTTACAGACACCCAACTTCTCTCTTGCAATATGGAATTGATAAAATAGTTTCAGGCTCAGATAAGGTTCTGTAAATACCTGTTCATCATGTAACTAACATTATCACCTAAAATTTAAATTTGATTGGCAACATCTTTTAAAGAAATTCAAACTACTGCTATAGAATAGTATTTTGTCTTTAGGTTTTCATCACAATTCAAGATTTTAGAGAAGGATGAAGAATGACCAAATCAAATTTATCAGTGCCCTCTACTGTTCCCAGGCTAAAATGATGAACCATTTGTAGGCTGCTCCAAGAGTGGGAAAATTCTTCCCTATAAAATATTAACACATTCAACCATGCCCATCTCAGCTAGGGAAGGAGTCTGGTGCCCAGCTTCTTGAGAAGACTTGGAATCTCCCATTCAATACAACTGGCACCAAGAGACACCATACCAATGTGCTTTACTGATTTTAGATAGATAGATAGATAGATGATAGATAGATAGATAGATAGATAGATAGATAGATAGATAGATAGATAGATAGATAGATAGATATGTATATGTAATCACTTAAGACTACTAAATCTCAAGGCTGAGACAAGACTACCTGGAAATTCTTTCTGGGAAATGCTAAATATCAGTGTGCCTGCTCTGGAGAGAACACTCTGTAGAAATAAAGTACTGATTTCCTGAACTTCAGATCCCTCTAATATGTCTGTTTTAGTTGGTCTACTAGGAAAAAGAAAATCTGTCACTTATTGAGTGGTTATTAACTGCTAGGCTCAGTGCTAAGAGCTTTAAAAGGACTGTCAGATTTAATCCTGACATGCTCTGGAATAGACATCATTATTTCCATTTACAGAAGAAGAAACTCAAGCTGAGAAAGGTTTAAAAATTGGCCAAAGTATGTTATTGTTTTTGGTGCTATTGTAAGTGGGACTGTTTTCCTAATTTCCTTTTCAGATAGTTCATTGTTAGGGTACAGAAACACAACTGATTTTTGTTGATTGTCTACCCTGAAACTTTACTAAATTTATTAGTTCTAACAGTTGTTCTGTTAGAGTCTTTAAGGTTTTCTGAAAACAGGGCCAGTTTTATTTCTTTCTGGTTTAGATGCCTTTTTCTTGCCTAACTGCTCTAAAACTTCCAGTATCATGTTGAATAGACATGGCAAGAGTGGGCATCCTTGCTTGCTCCTGATCACCGTGGAGGTCACCTCACACCTATCAGGATGGCTATTACCAAAAAGACAAAAGAAACAACAAATGTTGGTGAGGAGATGGAGAAATTTGAATCTTTGTGCACTGCTGAGTGAATGCAAAATGGTGCATCTGCTACAGAAAATAGTATGGAGGTTCCTCAAAAAAGTTAAAAATAGAACTACTGTATGATGTAGCAATCCCACTTTTGAGTACCCAAAAGTACTGAAATTAGGATCTTGGAGAACTATTAGCACTCTCATGTTCAGTGAGGCAGAATTAACAATAGCTGAAATGTGGAAACCTGTATGTCCGTGGATAAATGAATGTATAAGCAAAATGCAGTATCTACATAGAACAGAATATCATTCAGCTTTAAAAAAAGAAGAAAAGTCTGCAATATGTGACATGGATGAACCTTGAGGACGTTATGCTAAGTGAAATAAACCAGTCACAAAAAGACAAATGATTCCACTTGTATGAGGTATCCACTTGTATAAGGTATTTTAAATAGTCACATTCATAGAATTAAAGAGCGGAGAACTACTGTTATATATTTGGAACCAATACAAGACTGTGTATCAGCAATACTTCAATAAATAAGTCACAGATGAAAGTACAGCATAGGGAATGTAATCAATAATATTGTAATGCCTTTTTATGGTGACAGAGGGTAACTACACTTCTCATGGTGAGCATCTCATAATGTATATAATTGTTGAATCACTATGTTGTACATGGGAAAACAATGTATATCAATTACACTTCAAAAAAAAAAAAAAAGAACAGAGTGGAATGGCGGTTGCCAGGAGCTGGGAAAGGGGGAATGAGTAGTTACTAATTAACAAACTTTCAGTTAACCAAGATGAATAGAATAAACTTTTGAGATCTGCTGTACAACACTGTACCTACAGTCAGCGATTATGTATTGTAGGTTTAAATTTTCTTAATATTTTTAATTGGCCCAAGGATTCACACCCTTTTCTGACACTCAAACCCTTGCTAAGGCTACCGATAACTCTCTCCCAGCGCTGTGTGACGTTGCGGAATTCGCTTAACAGCTCTGGGCTTGCGTTACTTCACCATCGAGATGAGCCTCCGCGCAAAAGCAGGCACTACTGCACCACCAAACTGGCGGGTTTGCAACCAATGCCGCGGGCGGACTCCAAGGGGCATCAGGAGGACCACGCACGGGGACCCACTGGAACCCAGCGCCCGGGCGGGAACAGAGAGCCTCAGACCCGCAGGCGGGAACGTGCTGAACGCCGTGGGAGTAAGGCAAAAAACCCGGCCCCGCTGGGTCACTGTGACCCATGGGAAAGGCGTCAGTACCAAACGACCAGCCCACGGCCTCGTTTCCTAGGCAGCTGGACCAAAAACTCTGCTCACCTCCGGCCGCTTTCGCGGGCTGGCACCTCCCCTTCGCTCTGCGCCTCAGTCGCCATCTTAGTCACCAAACGACTTTCACCTCCCCCTCCTCCGACTCCACCCCCACGCCCTTGGATTGGCTATGGTGTTTCCCTCTCTTCCACGTGATTGGATGGTTTTCCCGCCCCTCCTCAAGTTGAACAGTTACATGATATTATTGGTCTATTCAAATAACTAACTGTTATTGGTCGCTCCCAGGAAGGTAACCTGCTGGGAGTCGTAGTTTCTCATTTTAATTAACCCTTCGGATTCCACCGACTTTTAGGTTCAAGTCAGAGATCCCCAACCTATACTCAAATTTTGTCCTAATGTGTAAATCTCAGAATCACAGTACTGTCGAATTTTAAATTGACTTTTTCACTCTCAAAAACCAAGATTTGTTTTCTGTCTGGACAGAGATACCCAGAAGTATAAGCACAGAATGGCAACCAAGAAGTATTTACAATTAAGTTTAGTTCACATGGAACCAAAAGCTGCATAACTGTCCCTGACTGAGCTTTAATCCTCAATGGTAGAAATAACCGTAATCATGCTCACCCCTCCCTGCCTCACAGGCTTCTAAGGAGGATTAATTGAAACAACCAAGGTGAGAACATGTAAACTTAAAGCATTAATTATTTTTCGGTACTGTTTTCCCATGTTGGATCTTTTTTTAGGGATATTTTTTCTGTTGTTCCTTCTGACATCTTTTCACATGAGGTTCTCCCAATATTCACTTCCTTTTACTAAGTTCTACCCACACATGTGTCAGTTTCTCAACAAACTTCCCTGCCTCAGGGAAGCACCTGTTGCTTTCCTGGCTTGGCCATTTTTCACTTTATTATCTTTCAGATCTCACCTTAAATGTCACTGTTCAGATGCTTTCCATAGCCCCCACCATGTAAATCAGTTCATCTGCTAAACTTCCACATAGCACTCTGTACTACTCATCCTTCATAACACTTACCACAACTTATAATTATATAGCTATTTGTATGCCCACTAGCTTCATGTGAGGGTTCCCAAATAGACTTCCTGCCACAGGTGGGCAAACTATACCTGTTTTGCTCCCATGGCATCTGGCACATATTGGCCTTTTGATAAATGTTTTTGAACAAATGAATAAACAAGTCTTCAGACTGTATTATCCAAACCAAAAATTGAATTGTTCTAATAGATTATTTCAATTGGTGAATTCATATTAGTTTGATAAAGGTTTGATAGGAGTGTCAAAATGCAATTGCATTTAATTTTATGTTTAACAAATTGTCTTACTGGGCAAATATATGAGAAGAAACAAAATTCAACAAGACACAGTCAGTGAAATTTTTCATTGAACCCCAGACAGCCTTGGGAAATCCAGGCTGCCTAATTACTGTATATTCAAAGCAGGAAACCCAAAGCTCAAATTCTTCCCTTTCCCAAAGTATGAACATGATTTGTTTCCTCGCCCTATGACACCCAGCACATCAATTAATCTTTCACACAGAACAAAAGTCCAAAACTTTGAAGTATAACACTACAGCTAGAAAGAACACCACACAATTATATTTCTGGTTCATCTATTTTGATGACATTTTTACACAAAATCCTTAAAGTTTGAGGAGATACAGAACAGTAATTAACAGCATGGGCTCTGGAGTTAGTGAGCCTACATTCAAACCCTGACTCCAGCACTTCTAGCTGTGTGGCCCCAGACAAGAGACTTAGCTTTCTGATTCCATTTCTCTTTGGTAAAGTGAAGATAATAATTCTCAGAAGGGTATTGTGGATTAAATGAGATAATCTCTGAAAAGCTACTTAGCAGCACAGTGTCTGGCACATCCTAACACTAGATAAGTGTTCAAGTGATATAATGAATATTAAGAATGCTAAATGCCCTTACCAGATAACACTTCCATCTCTATTGCTGTGTGATAAGGACCATACATTACACTTGTAGTTACAGTTTTATCAGTTACCCTAGAGAGGGGAGTGTTTCACCTTAAAACCATCTGCTCCACTGTGATTTCTGATTAAAAGCAAGTGTCATTGCTGAGTGTTGTAAAAGTACCCCCCAGCCCCACCTGACAAGGCTGCATACCTTGTTTCTGCAAAGATATCACAGCTCCCCTGAAATCATCCTTACTCTCTCTAGGTACTGATTGTCAGCCGGGCGATAAGCATGGATGTACAGCAAGAATTCACAGAAGTTCAGAAAGTCATCCTGTTCTCAATACCCTGGCTGAACAAAAGGTCACAAAAAAATAGACCTAGTCCTCAAGGAGTTTACAATAGACTAGGGGAGACAAATGCACACATGTACGTCACAAACAACAGTTTGGACATCACGGAGGACTAAATATCCAAGTAAAGAATAGACTCCTAGGAATTCACAAGTGTGTAGAAGGAAAGACCAGAATAATTTAAGAGCAAAGGCATGGACTTGAGTAGGCCACAGATGTCATTGCAAATCCAATCTACCTACCCCAACAGACTATGACCTGTGGGGGCAGAAGTGGTGGTCTAATCATCTTTGTGTTTCCAGGCCCTAACCTCAATGGAGTGGGGAGAAAAAGAGGGAGGATAGTTGGAAGGGAAGTAGAAGAAGGAACAAGATAGAAGAGAAGGAAAGAGAAGGAGGATCTGCCCATGATCTGCACTCCCACATGGTCTTCTCCACACTTCCACCCTAACCTCACCCTCCAACAATGAAATTGACTTGCAGTCCCTGGATACATCTTTCTGTTTCCTGCTTCCATTTTTTTGTTCCTTAAAGTCAAAATACAAAAAATACAAAAGGATCCACATCAAAATACAAAGGGATCATGTGAGCAATAAACCTTTCTGAGCCTTGCATCAGTATTGCATCTGGTCAGGGGGTGGGGTGAGGGTGCATATTAACATTAAAAAATAAAAGACTAAAAGCATAATGGTCTGTTCTTTTGTCAAAAGGACCAACAGCCCCACCAAAATATCACATACCCACCTAGAATACCCATTTTCCCCCTTTCGTTGCCAACTACCTTGTATTTGTTATGATAAAGTCTTTGAAATCATTTTAATGACAATCTCATCACCTGTTAACATTTAGTTCTTCTTTTTCTATTATTTAATTACACAACTGTCTTGCCAATGGGTTTTAGCCCCAGGCAAGTCCACTATGGATTCAATGTGACCAAAGAAAATGACAGTAAAACGTTCTTGGGGTGAAAAGGTTATACCCAACTTTATTTCCAGGTGGCAGGTCAATCACCAAAATCCTGTTCACTCAGAGTGAGTCTGCGTGCAGCAAGCCAGTCTCAACCATGCTCTGAGCCTCACTGCCTGCACAGTCATCCCGCACAGCCGTCCTCTGGGCCTCTGTCCTCGGCACTGCCATGACTCCAGCCTCTGCTCTGCTCTCCTACAGCCTTGCAGCCACGCCACCATGTCGCCCAGAGCGCTGGGCAGAGCTCTTTATATAGAGTCAATAACAACGTATTGCCCACATGTGTGTAGTGAGCTAGCCAACCAGGGCCAGATGAGAATCCTGGCCACAGGAACCTTCACTTTATCCACAAAAACTAATACATAAAGACATTTCCCTTATAAAAAAATATTTACGGAATGCCTATTACGTGCCAGCACTGTTCTAGACCTGTTGATATAGGCATAAACCAAAGTCCCTCTCTTGTGGCATTTCATTCTAATGGTAACACACATATACATAGAGAAATACAGAATCTTAATTTTTAGATAAATGGTGATACACTATACATAGTGTCCTCACATGTGCATCCTGGAGGCTTTCTATGTCAGTACACAAAGATCTGCCCTTACTCTTCTGAACTGCTGTGTAGGAGTTCACATTCCAGGTGCTCCCCAGTTTATTTAAACCATCCCAACCCCTTGCACATTGAGGTTTATGTTAATCCAGTTTGCAAGACTGGAAACTGACTTTGGCTAACGTAACAACAACTGGATTTGTTGGAACAATATTAGGTTGAAGAACTGGCAGGAAGGAATGGGGCTGAGAATGCAGAAACCTCAGCTTTGCTGTGGATCCTCTTCAAGATTGGACACAAGGAGAGACAGTGGGGCAGGGAACTCAATGAGGTCAAGAGGAGAGGAACCAATTCTATGCAGCTGCAAATGACTGAGTTCAGGGCTGGAGGCTTAGAGTACAAACTCCAGGGGTCATTTTCCCCAGCCAAGAGAACAAACTGGGAAATGGCCAGTTCACTGGCAAGAGGCTGGCACAGAGAAGGACAGAAAGCACATGCAGTCACAGAGCATTTGGGATTAGAATTCACCATCTGTCAGGCACTGAGCTCAGTGATGGGGCTATCGAGCTGAATGTGCCATGAAGCCTACCCTCAGAAAGCTCAGACTGTAGCTGGAGGTCAAGAGGACCAGGCTGTCTGAAAGCCTGAAGGTACAGCACAAGGCCACGCCTGGCTTGGGGGCTGCAAACCAAATCTTTCTTAATTGGATTCTTTCTGGCCCTCTAATCAAGAACACCCTAGACCTCAGGTCAGGAGGCCCCAGGTGCTGATGTTAAGTTTCAAAGCAGTAACATGTATGTGATGTTCAGGAAATGGGCTGATACATCATGAACTCACTGTGTTGGGTGTTATCTCCACAGTCACATGAGCTGAAGCCTGGATGGACTCTTTTTTCCTGCCACTACAATTCATTCTCATGGAGACTGTTTTCTTACTGAGCGAAATGTTGCACTTAGTCTGGACAGCTATAGGAAGTAGCTATAGGAAGTAGAGTGAACGTCAGGAAAGGCCCCAAGGCTTCCCCTTCTTCATTGTCCTCTAGACGGGAGCCCTCAGAGTCAGTTTGGAATATCCCCCCATTCAAAACCAGAAAGTAGAGGAAATTGTCCCTCAGTGCCCTATAGGCCTTTATAGCCATTCCCACCCACAGGTTTCATCTCCTTTCAAGGATGTAGGAAGAGAGAGCTACCTTGCTCATTCATTCACACACAGTGTGCTTTAAACCCAAGGGGCCTCTTTTGGTACATATAAATTTAAAGGACCACTTTTAATTGTGGAATAAAAGGCTCCTAGCCCAGTTAATAGAATTTCACG